CCTTGGCTGTGGTTTTGGATTTTATTTTCCTATCAGCGGTCTCTGACTCTTGGGGACTAGGGTTGACAGAACAAAACCACCTCGATGGAGGCGCAAAGAGGAGCTCGCTGCATGGCGACGATGAAGTCGACGATACCCTTAGGGGTGAATGATCCGCCCGTCGCATTTCCGTTTCTCTTGGAGACATGACGGCCGTTGGTGCAGGACAGGGCCGACGGGGCCTTGGACGGGGAGGGGGACACTGTGGTACATTTTCCGGTACGTCGCTTCAAAGGCACGATGACGGACGGTGCAAATTGATGAGGCCAGTACGGTCCTGAAGCCGGGAAAAAGTCAGTCATGTCGCTGTCTCTGAGACCCTGGGAACACTGTGAAGGCATGTCCACAGGTGGCATGTATCTGTGGTCCCCCAAACTCAGCGCTGGCGAGCGAATCACAGGGCTGCTGTTTCCGGGTCCACACCCCACCACACCCACCCTCCACCCCACCGCAATCGATACCAGCAGCCAGAACCAGCCACACCCCTGCAGCCGCGATGGGCAGGCCTTATCTTGGGCTGAGGGAAAGTGTGGGCAGTGGACACCCACTACTGGGCTGCTGCTGGAGACGGAGACCTGGACTTGCTGGCGGCATGTCCATTAGCACCTCAGTGTGCACGGTAAGGTACGGGAGGTACCTCGACCGCTGGACAGAGGCGGCAGGAACCTACCCAGTTTCTGGACGGTAAGGTACGAATACCCAGCCGGCCTGCCCAGTACGCTTCTGTACCACACGCGTCAAAGGCCAGACGAGGCAGGATGCGGTCATCCCAAGTATCCTGATGGTACCTGGCGGGATCGGGTACGTTCATCTTCAGTCGGTACGGCAAAGGTACGCAGTACGCAATATCCCGCCCAAGATAGCTGGGTTCAAAGGCATCGCCGCCAGTCACCTTGTCCAAGTCGCCCAGCCCATGCCTTCCTCCCGGACACGGCCACCGAAAACATAAAACCCTCAACCGCCCCGGCGTCTGTTCTCTTATCGCAGCTCTTTACTTTTCACTCATCCTCTATTCTATATCCTCTCGTCTTCCTGTTTTCTAGATCTATAGATCTACCTGCTTGAACCTTTCCTCGATCCTCAATTGACCCGTTGAGCTTGTCATCCAACTTCTTCCTTTTTTAACTTTTACACACACACAAACCGCAAAAATGGTGAGTCCTCCTGCTGCTGCAGTTTTCTGCGCAGAAAACCCCACGTCATTCCTATTGCGACCCGGTCGATCTACCCCTCGCTGGTCGATGCGGTGTTGCGGAAGAATATCCAACATGGAACCTGCGCTAACATGACTTCCTCAATAGGCGACAGAAGCTGCTACGGTTTCCAACCCCAACACCGTGAGAGCCACCCACCTACGCTGATCCCATCATCAGCTTCGATCTACACGAGAACAAATATGCTGACTACCTGTGTAGCTGGCCAAGTACCTGAAGCTTGACCAGAAGGGCCAGATCATGGCCGAGTACATCTGGATCGATGCTGACGGCGAGACCCGCTCCAAGTCAAGGGTATGTCTTTTTTCCCGATAAGCCGCGTCTCAGTCTTTTTTTTTTTCCCCGCCGGGCGTTGGCTCGGTTCGCAGCCCGCAAAATCGCCCGCACTGCTGCAGCCGGAGAATCCTCTACACGAGGAAAAGGATACGCCTCTTCCAGCGTTGGCCCGCCACGCGTTGCAGCTGAGCCGGTTAATGCCTCTCACGACCTGCGGCGGCGGGCGCAACAAAGCTGGGGAAGCGGCCCCGTGTTTTGAGGAATCATTGCCTCGGGGTCTCTCCGAGTCTGCCCCGGACTGAGATTTAGGCGGGCTGCTGCAGCAGGTTGCGGCGACGGCAAGCACTGGGGCTTGGCGGGGGTCAAACCACCGCCTGCCCCGCGGATGCTGTGTTGGGTGTTGGGTTGGCGGTCGTTGTACGTACCTGCTCAGCTCTGCTCGGCTGGGCTTCTGGTTATTGCCAGTAGCCGGGGCTGCTGGCTGACAGGATTCGCACACGACTCGGTTCTGCAAGGAACCCCGCCCCACCTGGCTGGTGCAGCGACTCCGAGGCCTCGCCTTGCCTCCAGCTGCAGGGTTCAACGCGGCATCTCGGGTATTGCAGGTCTCGCAAACAAAAAGTCTAGAAGTGTCTTTGTCCGCTCGCCGTCGGGGCGCATCCTTCTTGCCGGTTGGCCAGCCGCCGGCGCGACGTGATCGCAGTCACGACCCCACTGGCGATGGGCCCGAGACCCAAAAGCCCCGAATGAGCGACTGGAGCTCCCCGCTTGAGCATCGTCAGTTCGACGACAAGGCGCATCGCATGATGTCAGCCTTGCAGGCCAAAGTTGGCCACGCGCCGAGCATTTGCCATGCCCAGACTTGCATCACAACGCCACATTCACAACATCGATACTGACAATGTGCGTCTACAGACACTCAAGGAGAAGGAGTACACCCCCGAAGACCTTCCTATGTGGAACTTCGACGGTTCCTCCACCGGCCAGGCCCCCGGTGACAACTCTGACGTCTACCTGAAGCCCGTCGCCGTCTTCCCCGACCCTTTCCGTGGATCTCCCAACATTCTGGTCCTTTCCGAGTGCTGGAACGCCGACGGCACCCCCAACAAGTACAACTACAGACATGAGTGCGCCAAGCTCATGGAGGCTCACGCCGCCCACGAGCCCTGGTTCGGTCTCGAGCAGGAGTACACTCTCCTCGACCTCAGCAACCGCCCCTTCGGCTGGCCTGCTAACGGTTTCCCCGCCCCTCAGGGCCCCTACTACTGTGGTGTTGGTACCGGCAAGGTCGTCCAGCGTGATATCGTCGACGCTCACTACAAGGCCTGCTTGTACTCTGGCGTCAAGATCTCTGGTACCAACGCCGAGGTCATGCCCGCCCAATGGGAGTTCCAGGTCGGCCCTTGCGTCGGCATTGAGATGGGAGACCACCTGTGGCTCGCTCGCTTCCTGCTCGCCCGTATTGCGGAGGAGTTCGGCGCCAAGGTCTCCGTTGACCCTAAGCCCATCCCCGGTGACTGGAACGGTGCCGGTCTGCACAGCAACTTCTCCACCAAGGAGATGCGTGTTGAGGGTGGCATGAAGCACATTGAGGCCGCCATCAAGAAGCTTGAGGGCCGCCACAAGGAGCACATTGCCGTCTACGGCGAGGGTAACGAGAAGCGTCTCACTGGCCGCCACGAGACGGGAGCTATCGACCAGTTCTCTTACGGAGTTGCCAACCGTGGTGCTTCCATCCGTATCCCCAGGGAATGCGCCGCCAAGGGCTACGGTTACTTCGAGGACCGTCGTCCCGCTTCCAACGCCGACCCCTACAGGATTACTGGTAAGTCTACAGCCCAATCAACACCAACATCACTTTGCGATGCTAACCATCGTCTCAGGTATTCTGATGGAGACCATTTACGGTTCCGTCGACAACTAAAGGGGATGACTGAGAGAGAGGATGGTATACCCGATTCAAGACTTCGCCTCGTTTTGAATATGCTTTTATCAGCGTGTTACATAGATCAGACTAAGGTTATTATGGGTCAATGAGAATTAAAGAAGGTTCAAACAAATTTTCGCGACTACTCGTCCCTACGTGCATGTTGTTACGTCGCCCACATGCTTGACGACGTCATTCGACCGCGTTGCGGTGAGACGCGCGTGACAGCACCGTCGGGCTTTCCACCGTCTGACCGTGCCGTGCGAACCGTTCAGTGGGCGTTTTGCGACGCCCGTACGGACACATCGTGAGTTTCGGCCAAGACGGCCGTTTTGTCGGTGTGTAAATGAAAATGTTTGGAGAAACAGCTGTTTATCCTATTTAGAGTTTTTGGGTGTTTAGACTTTTATTGATGCCCAGCCCGCGCGCAAGTGGTGCAACATTGGATCAGACGGAGGCGCCCTCCGTTTTTCGGAGGTTTACGCAGTCTCCTACTTCACTGTATGTACGGTGATCTCATGGGCCGTCTGAAGTTTATCGTGATGTGAGACAGCGAAGACGCAGGCGGCTGACATGACATGTGGTTTTTCTGCACTTTGTACATGGCAATCGAGGCGGTGAGCAGGCGAGGGGGAAGCTTTTTGTTTTCGTTCTTTAATCCATGGGGGTGTTTGGATATGGTTCTGGCATGCAGGTTTTGCGGGCGAGAGTTTTTGGACAGGTGAAAGGTGGGAAGTGTGGTTCGGTGAGATGTTGCCTTGTAGAGAGAGGTGAGGTGTGTGTGTTTGCCGAGTTTGCGGGATGTGGTTTGGGAGAGGCGCCTTGTTTGCCAAGAGTGGCGCGGGAAAGGTAAGCTGGGTAGGACTACCTTTTGGACCGCGGGGTTGGTTGCACGGTTTGTGTTGATGCTCCGATGCTCCTGGATCAGGATGGGAGGTCTTGGTTCTTGGCGGTCTTGCGTTTGTGTCGACGATGGCAGGTGACGGGTTCTTTGGTGGGAGGGGTGAAGGGGATGAGGTTGCCATGATGGTGTAGTTGAGCTTGGGTGAGAGGGAAGCTTGAGGCATACAGAGAGACTGCTGCAGTAAGACTCTAGAGGGCTCGCAAAGAGTATTGCTGGTTTGAGGAGTTAATGCTTACTCTAGCTAGAACACGAGCATCATGGTTTCTGTTACACTTATTTCATCGTGCAGGCCATGGAATTCTGTCCCTTTCCCATGAGCTTAACCTTGAATTTGCCATGAGCTTTCTTTGAGTAGTTCCAACGGACCTGAGCTCCCCGGCCCCGCGGCTTATCTTATCGGCAAGGTGGGGTGCACGCTAGTCCCAGATCAGCCTAGCGTCCAAAGAAATTCTCAATTCAGATCTTTTTTTTTCCTTACCAGGAGCTTTCAACCTCCAAAAAAAATATTTACCAGCGTCCATCACGACGATATCTTCACTTTCTTGCGCTGCAGGCAACCACCACCCCAATTGCGCCCCTACACCCTCTCTTCGCAAGACAAAAAGCCACACACGATTTAAATCCAACAAGCACAACCAAAATGGCAGCTACCGTGGGACCCCTCCCGCAGGTGAAGCTGCCCTCGGGCCCGTCCCCGGTGACGGCCGAGCAGCGCTACTGGAAGTCCTTCAAGAACCAGCTGCAGATCCCCTCACCGACGTCGTACCCCATCACGCACATCTCCTCGACCTCCTCCGACGGCCTCTTCGCCGTGACCACCGGCACCCGCGTGCAGCTCTACTCCTCGCGCACCCGCAAGCTCGAAAAGACAATCACCCGCTTCGCCGACGTCGCGCGCTCCGGCTCCCTGCGCCGCGACGGCCGCGTCCTCGTCGCCGCCGAGGACACCGGCCGCATGCAGGTCTTCGACACCTCCTCCCGCAGCATCCTCAAGACGTGGAACACCCACAAGCAGCCCGTCTGGGCCACCCGCTTCAGCGACTCGGAGCTCACCACGCTGCTCTCCGCCTCGGACGACCGGACGGTGCGCCTGTGGGACCTCGTCGCCAACGACCCCACGCACACCCTCGTCGGCCACCAGGACTACGTCCGCTGCGCCGAGTTCATGAACGGCACCAACACGATCGTCTCGGGTTCTTACGACGCGACCGTCAAGATCTGGGACCCCAGGATAGGCGGGCGCAGCAACGCCGCCGTCATGACCTTCAAGCACGCGGCGCCCGTCGAGGCCGTCCTCCCGCTCGCGGCGAACGGCACGACCCTGCTCGCGGCGTCCGGGCCAACCGTCTCGGTGCTCGACCTCGTCGCCGCGCGCCCCGTGCACCAGATCGCGAACCACCAGAAGACGGTCACCTCGCTCGGCCTCGCGTCCGGCGGCTCGCGCCTCGTGACGGGCGGCCTCGACGGCCACGTCAAGGTGTTCGAGACGACGGGCTGGAACGTGGTGTCGAGCACCAAGTACCCGTCGCCGATCCTCTCGCTGCGCGTGCTCGCGGCGTCGAACGCGGCGGAGCACGCGGACCGCCACCTCGTGGTGGGCATGCAGTCGGGCGTGCTGTCGGTGCGCACGCGGCTGACGGGCCCGGAGGCGGCGCGGCAGAAGGAGCGCGAGCGCGAGATGGCGGCGCTGCTGGCGGGCACGCTCGACGAGCACGACAAGATCGTCAAGGGGAAGAAGCGCAAGCAGTCGGCGATGCGGCGGCTCGAGGCGCTGGGGGAGGGCCAGGCGGAGGTCATCGTGGCGCAGGACGCGAGGGTCAGCCGGAGCAAGGAGAACGCGTGGCAGAAGGCGCTGCGGCACGGGCGGTACGGCGCGGCGCTGGACGTGGCGCTGGACGCGCAGGGGAACAAGGAGTACTCGCCGCTGGGCGTGCTGACGCTGCTGATGGCGCTGCGGCACCGGTCGGCGACGCGGGAGGCGCTGGAGGGCAGGAACGAGGCGACGGTCGCGCCGGTGCTGAAGTGGACGTGTGATCATATTATCGACCCGCGGTATGTGGGTGTTTGTGTCGAGGTTGGGCTGTTGCTGGTGGAGCTGTATGCTGAGTATGCGGAGGCGAGCGCGGAGCTGTGGGAGGGGTTTAGGATGTTGCAGAGGAGGGTGAGGCATGAGGTTGAGAAGGCGCAGTTGGCGTGTCAGACGGTGGGGATGGTGGAGAGTTTGATGATGGGGGCTGCTTGAGGTTGAGGGACTTTTGTGTGTTCCACGTCCCGGCTTGAGGAAGAGACGCTGATCAAGGATGTGGTTGCATGGTTGTAAAGATGACGGAGAAGGGGGAAAGAGGAAATGGATTACACGGTATTCTTGTCCCCGTGGAAAGGACCCTCTTGTTTGATTCTGACTTCTTGGTCACTGATGCATTGCGATGGCGTTGGGGCGGATCGAAGGAGGGAAACGGGAGAGGAAACAAAAAAGGGGAGAAGAAAAGTAATTTGTGTGGTGTACAATGGCCTCCTTTTTTAGGAGGTCGTTTGTTGATAGATTGAATACCCTCCAGGTCTGTGTTTAAGCATGTCATGAGTTTCTCCGAAGTGAGTGTGTGATCCGCATATGGCGGTTGTGATACTCTGATGTTGCGGTCCTCTTGTGGTTACTTACAGAGGAGTTTGCTATTGGACGTATGCTTTTGGCTATTTCAGGGGATAAGGTCAAGAGAGACGACGACGAAGACGACGACGAAGACGACGATGAGAGATAACTAACCAAGATCATAGAGAAAATGGCAATGACAAGCTACTGCACCCGGAGGTAAGACCATGAAGTCTTCGACTACCTCGCCCCAGGCAAACTGACGGACAGCTATGACAAGCTTCTCGTGAGCAGAGAATCAGTGCTGGCAATCTCTATTTCGCCAGCGCTTCACATACTTCCAATTTCCAACCAAAGTACTTCATGGACAAGTATATAAAGGAGCCTTAAGATATGCCGCACTATTCAACAATGTCGTCGGCCGTAGCCAAGATGGATAATGCAAAACCCACGCATTTTGCCCCCGCCCCAGGCGGCAGATGACCGGTCTCACGCGAGTTGAAGTCGCATCCGCCTGCTACTTATGCACCAGGAAAGTCAAGCAATCTGTCCGCTGGTGCGAAGGTCCGGAATAAGAGAAAGACGCAAAGATGCTGGACGGCGGTGATGGGATTTGAGCGCCGGGAGGAGGGGGGGATGGTCTCCATATTGGTGTTCGTTTTGACCTGATGTGGGCCGCGATGAGCGAGCCCTTGGTTCATCATGTTTCCAGGAAACGGTTCGTCATCATCATACTTGTCATTTAAATCTTTTCGAGCTTTCGATGCCGGTTTTATATGCCGTCTTCAGCAATGATCTTTGGCGGATTCAGCCTGGATGCGAGTTGTTTGGGTGGCGATCTGGAGCATGGGGAGAGTGCAGTTGGTATATAAAGGACTTCCTTTCAATGCACAGTTTTCACTCCAGAACGGGCGACAAATGTGAAGTTGTTAGTATCTCGCTTTGCTTTCTGAAGAAACCACGACTACGCCTTTGCTATGATCCATGATCCACGATCTTGCGAATATACACTGCAGAGGTAGCTTATAGATACCTTGGGAGCTTGGTATTTTGGGACACTGTCGACTGACGTGTATTCAAGCAGAATAAGAAACTCACAAGAAACTGTCATATATGACTGCAGATTCATTGAAGTCCTTCGGGTGGGCAAAGATACTCAATGTGTTGGCCTCCATGACCGCGGGCTGCTGAGCAGAAATGTTGGGAAGTGTCTCGTAATTTGGAGAGTCAAGGATGTTGTTGCGCACCGGGCTTTATACGCTATTCTTCTGGCTCGAATAACACCCTGACCCTAGACTTTTAATCCATGATCTTGCACCCGACTGTTGTGAAGCATCAAGTGCTCTCAGTATCATGACTGATCCCCCAATCTGCAGTTGACGAAAGGATATCTGATCAAGAGCCAGGTCTCTCAACCACAGGCTCCGTAAAATAGACGCAGGAAATTGTGTACCATCCAGGGTCATGCTCTCGACCTGAAGGACGTCACAATATGCGAAACGATCGCCAGAGTGTTGGTATATTGTCTCGGCCCATAAACTGAGAACCCGAGGAGCAAAATCAAACGACCACGTACTTTGCCAAGTAATATTCCCTATCAAGTGTTAGCCTTCATGGACAGATCTCGGTCTGGCAAGTTTTGTTCCCCATTTACAGAAGAGGACCAAAGACTGCTCAAAGGGAAGATCTTACCGCCATTGCGATTGTAACGGAAAATGCAGCCTTCATCTGTGCCTTGTCCATACCAGATCTCCAGGACACGTAGCTTGGGAATTCTCCGAGCTGCATTGGCAGCAGCATGAAGAAGATCATTGGCCTTGCTCCGGGATTGACGTGCTGATAGTGTTTGCGACGTGAGCGCCAACGTTTCGAGACAGTCCCAGGAGTACTGAATCCCGGCCCTCTGATCAGCGGGGTCTAAATCATCTCTAGGCCTGAATGGATAAAGAAAGTCCTCAGCGTCGACAATGAAGGACGCGGCTAGGCTCTCTCTTTGCTCGCAGATATCAGAGCTAGACCAAGTTCCCGATTATTGAGCCGAGTTGCGTAATCTTCTAATAAGTATTTGAGACAGGAAAAGAAATTCCCGTCAAAGTCTTCGAATAGTGCTAAGCGCTTCAGAGTGGTCGGTATCCAATCCCTGAATATGTGACGATACCCTGCATTGCGTCATCAGTCAGCAGCAAGAGATTGAACTTTGCGTGACTAGAAGTCAAGCGGGAAACGTCTCTGTAGAAAAGAAAAGAAAATCAGAAATGAATAATTGGACTTACGGCTGTCGAAATTGGCCTGGGCCTGGTGCGACGGGATATGCGGGGTTTCGCATACGACATCTTGGAGCCCTTTCAATCTCTCGAAGATTTGGCCGAGACCATCAGGATGGATCAGTCGGTAATTTTGCTTCCTGATGAGTAATTTGGTAACAACGCCTACTTCTGGTAACTGTTTCTCAGCAGAAAACGGCGGACTATCGTCATAATTTGGTGGGACGATATAGAGACCTTTTAGACAATGAATGCGGAGGCAATTTGAAAACACTCTTTGGTCATCATTTACGCGTCGGCCAGATTCCCACAAGTGATTGAGGTCGTGGAACTTGGCATGCGATCTGTCGGCTAAAGTTGCCTGGAAGTTCCCTGGCGCATCTGAGTAGGGATTGTGCGTAAAGTCGTACTCTTTGAAAAAATGTTCTGCGTCACTCGGGGAGTACGCAGACAACTCTAGGTCAAACCTCTGTCGCTTCGGTCACTGAGGTCATTTCAGGTACTTAGTCATTCAAAAAGCACTTTGAGAGCATCTGTAAAGATCGCCCGATTGCTGATTCCGTCCAGGGGATCTTCCACTAGCCGGCACGATCTGCAGTCGTAAGGGTTGAGCTCGATGCGAAGCCAAACATGATTGACCAGTTTTCTCCTTCGACCCTGAACGATTCTTTTGAAGTCTGAGAGGCATTGCTGAGTCAATAACAGCATCCTAAAATGTTTTGCCTCGAAGAAAGACTGCCATTCCGTGCAGACCGTTGCGAATATAGCAGTGCCTCTTCCGTCTCGTTGCTCGCCAAGGTCGCGCTTTGGTTCCTGGTGACTGATGACGAGCTCGAGAATGGCCTGGCGGATCTCAAATGGCAAAGTGGGCCAGGTGAACATTTTTGTTGTGAGTCTGGTGTTTAACTGCATATTATTTCAGCCAAAGAATAGGGGGACAAATACAGCTTTGGGTAATTACTATAGCTTACTAGATTAGGAGTAGTAAGAGACATAGTAGAGAGAGAAATAGAGAAGCAATGCTGGGAAACCAGAGAAATAGAATCAAAAATGACTATTCTACGTAAAAGTTAAAAATAACACTTTTGATCTAGATTTGAGGGCCTTTGTAGTTAACCTCTTTGGTCAAGAGGTTTTTTTCGCATGTGGCGGCTTTTCTTCCTGTCGACTGCTCTTCGTCAACCTATCTCTCAATTTCATTAATCGTTGGTTCTCAGCACGACAAACCAATAACTTCAGTCTTCAAAGACTCTAAAACATCTAGCGAATATCGTGATGCGACCGAAGATCTCGCCTTCGTTCTCAAGACACCATGTGAGGCCTAATCTTCTTGCTTGATACTAAAGGTGGCTTTTCCTTCCTCGATCATGTCATCGACCTTGTTTCCTAGTCACCAGAGGATTATTGGTAATAGCTCACTCTATGGATAATTGGAATAATTCGAAAATTCTCACTAACGTCGCCAGCGGCGCTGGACTGGTTCGACTTCCTATTTCCGGTCCCAATAACGTTCTTCTCTGGCCTCTGGGATGACAAATGCTGGCCCGGTATGCACTCGTTATTCAGCCTCTGGCACAGGTATTATGAATTTCAATGGTTTCACCCGCCATGAACAGCTCCCAAGAACTGCAAACAGTCTCGTGAAGTGGGAGCAACGGAGATCAATGCAAAACATGAATTCATTGGTCGTCGCACTACAGATCAGGTCAATGATCCCTTCATTCTGTCATACGCACCGAATGACATGTGAAGTGGCAGACGCCCCAACATTTCAATGAGGGAAAACATTCTCACGATGGTAAATTTGCTTAGAAAGAACGGCGAGCTGCTCTCGGGCTGCTGGCGTACGCGTACAAGACAGAAGCTAAGCCCGGCTGGGAACTTGTGCTACCCCTAGCTTCGACACCCGAGGTTGGTCTACGACCCTGGTATGTCGATAGCCATGATGCAAGACACGGCTGGACCGTACAAACCTGACTGCGTCTCCGTAGTAAACGTCTATTCTGGATAGCGTTTGCTCGTCACCCGAGACAATTGGTCCAGAAGGCGCGCTACGGTGGAAGAGCACAGGAGATGCTATCCACAGACCCCACAAGGCATTACGCTTGATTTTATCTTTAACCCCTGGCTTAATTACTCCTTAAAAAATCCGAACCATTCGGACGTGCAGGTGATTTAATTAAGGCCGCTCTGATTCGTCGGTGCTTCCCCGCAAAGTACGGGAGTCGCACTAAGATACACCCTCCGCCGCCTAAGCTCCCACATACCGGGGCTTGGCATTTGACTACAGCCTCAATCGCACCCGTTTACAGTCTATGCCGACGCCAGAACCCATGTTGTGGCACAAAGATGATGACGAGTCACCGCTACGTACGCAGTTTGCAAAAG